TTTACCAGATACTTTAGTTAAACAGAATTCACAAAATAAAAGATAATTTAAATTATCAGACAAAATAAATCAAAGTATGTTAAAGTAAATTTAAAACAATGACCTTCAAAGGGTCTGTTCAATAAAAAATATTAAGTTCTCTTTTTCTTGATGACTTTATTATCTGCATTGCAATCTATTTTACCAGATACTTTAGTTAAACAGAATTCACAAAATAAAAGATAATTTAAATTATCAGACAAAATAAATCAAAGTATGTTAAAGTAAATTTAAAACAATGACCTTCAAAGGGTCTGTTCAATAAAAAATATTAAGTTCTCTTTTCCTTGATGACTTTATTATCTGCATTGCAATCTATTTTACCAGATACTTTAGTTAAACAGAATTCACAAAATAAAAGATAATTTAAATTATCAGACAAAATAAATCAAAGTATGTTAAAGCAAATTTAAAACAATGACCTTCAAAGGGTCTGTTCAATAAAAAATATTAAGTTCTCTTTTCCTTTAATGACTTTATTATCTGCATTGCAATCTATTTTACCAGATACTTTAGTTGAACAGAATTCACAAAATAAAAGATAATTTAAATTATCAGACAAAATAAATCAAAGTATGTTGAAGTAAATTTAAAACAATGACCTTCAAAGGGTCATATCTCACCCTTTAGATATGATTAAACAGCTGAGCTGATGATAAAACTGAATATAAAAAAACGATTTATGATCACGACAAATACCGTTCACTACTTTAAACTTGTAATATGATTTTGTAAACTTTGATAATGGTTTAACATGAATTATGAATAGTAATATTGTATGTTATCAATATTAGACTTGTATTTAATGTATTGGGAACAGAATTTCTATTTCACAGAATGACATATTTTAATGTATTTAATTAATAAATTATACTATTTCCAAATTTATTAACTGATTCTTTATTGTGAACTCTTGTGATTGTGTTATTTATTATGAACTAATAATAATATACTAATATTTTGATAAACATAACCCATCACTGATATAAATAATAAGCATGACACATCTTATTACAATTTACATAAACTACTACTTTTTCCTTTAAATTAAAACTTATTTTTATATTCACCGAGTTTCTCACTTCAGTTCAGATAATAATTGGGAATTTTACTTTAAAATCATTCATTATAGGAATTTTGCATTGTCATGATATCAGTAATTATCGATCTTTAGCATATCTGAATCAATCTTAATACATTAAATAATAAGCATTTATTCTTTTTTAAAGGAACATATGTAAAGAGAAAATATACCCTCTAAGCCAATAAAGCCATTTTGGTTGATTTCTGTTTCAGTGGTGAAATACCAAGGTCAGTGACATTACAAGTATATAGACTTAGTTATGGCATGTATAAAATACAAATTTAAACTAAAATGTTCAAAGTCACTTTGTAGACATCCTAAATAAAATGTTATGTTAAAGATCTTTTCTATAGCCATTGCAACAAGTGTGGTATCTTAAAAATTGATGTTACAATTTTTTTAGGAATATATATGAAACATTAAAGAAAAAAGAACTGTGTGTTAAGAATCATATTATATTGGCACAGATTAGGTATCCTATAAGTATACAGATAAAAATCTTGTCCCTAATTCGTGGTACGAAAACTGTTTTTTATGACGATGTGCAAACGAGTCAAATTTCCTGTGCGCAAAAATAAACTCGCGTAAAATAACAATAAACAGCGTAATAGAGAGATATCGCTAAACCGAATAGCGTGCATGGACGTTAATAAGGCCAGTAAGGCCAGGTGTTATTTTCTTTACGTGAGGTGGTATTAACTCTCTTCATTTATAGTTATCGGATCGGAAAGAATTCTGATCGCGTCGCGTCCGCTATTTAAACTTAACCTAACTTTGAATTTAAAACTTTGAAATTGTTTCGTTTACTAGGTATTTTAAAACTAAAGGGCTAAAGTGCTTATTTCCAGTGCTTTATTGTTCAACGTCTGCCAGTGGGTTTAGGGCAACAAGCAACAAATTCTCTTAGAAGGGCTAAGTCGTCATCTGCTGTAAACCTATGACTCTTTATAGGTTCTTTAGTATTGGAAGAGGTGGAATCCATATTTTGGGCCATATTTATTTAATTAAAACTAATCCCAGCTACTTAAATATCAAATTACCTAATAAAACTAAAGCAATAATTCAAAACAATTCAAACATAACCTAAAATAAAAGATCTCGCCGGCCGGCTCCGGTTGTCCAATACCCGCACATGCCCATTTAAGCAATTTTTAAACGTTATCAGAGGTTATTTAGAAAGAGCGCTTGGTGTAATTGATCCGCAAATTACGTCAGGCGGTAACGTTATTAGCGAGTGTTGCGTTAAAAATTGACTCGCGCATATCGTAACCATGATAAAGTACGCGTAAATACTAGATGACGCTATTCGGTTTTCCGATATCTCTCTAATAACTGTGCCGGTCAGGCGCTGTGCACCATTTTAGAGGCCACAAGTGGGCGTGCTATGTGCGCAAACTAGTCACCTAACTAGTGCCCGATTCTGAAAATTGGAACCATGAAAAACAATAAAGAAAAAACAAAGATTATAATCTGTCTAATCTGTGATATTGGATTTACTGTTCATTTTATGTAATTTTTGCAAAACAATTTAAAAGAAATTGTTATTTTTTTAAGTCCCTGTACATTTATTAAACCTTGTACATTGATGTAAAATCAAATTCGGAAAAAATTCTCTTTTGATTTTTTCGATAATAATTTATCACCTAACTATACTCTGTATTACTCAGGTAAGATTTCGACAGAAGATGACAGAGAAAAAGCAGATGACGTTCATACCAATCCATTTATTTTGCTAAAAAAAGTTTCTAATATTTTAAGGTAACTATAGATTATGGGTTTATACATAAATCCGTTATGCGTCGTCTCTTGTTTTAACCAGTTTTATTGGTTGATTTCAAAAATGACAGATCATATTTCAATATTATTGGAGTGACGGAACGATGCACGAACGCAGATGCAGATATTATGAACTCAGCTTAAGATTTTTGAGGCTTGTCTAATTCTTGCAAAATTATACGTTATATTTTGTGCAAAATTATGTAAAATATTATCAAAAGAATTGCATTTTGCATTTTGGTTCGTGTTATTATGTTTGTTTTGTGTTTTTTGAAGTTAAGTGGATGAAAAATTGAGGGAAAATTAACAGTAGACCCAGAGCACAGTTTATACTCGATGCCCAGTTTTATTAGCCACCAATAATGTTTGTATACCATCTTATATATGGTACTAAAAATGAGTAGCTGTAAAATAACTTCATCACACGATACATAAATAATATATTTGAGTACTGCAGAGAGATAACGTCAAAAAGTACTGGTTTAAAAGAATTAAGATTAAAGTAATCAACTTTTAAGGAATAAAATTCAGTAAGTGTTATTATTTATAGAATATTTTGTTTTATTTATTCCTGTGCAATATTAAAATTTTATTATTTGTATATAAGATAGAAAACAAATTTCTTGCAGTATAGGTATATAATAAAATTATATAGTAAGGTATCTTGCCACTTCACTGCTGATATAGAAATTTAATTCTACGCTGTGTTTGTCATAATGTGGATCAACCTGTTCTCACTACCGGTTTCGGAGCTCTACACCATCATCAGGTGAGCTTGGGCAGATCCACAAAATGACGACCACAGCGCAGAGATAGTTAATTCCGACTTGGCGGAAAGTGTCGGTTAGCTATTAAGTTCCGAACGGGAGATACTTTCCGACAAGTCGGAATTTACTATCTCTGCGCTGTGGTTGTCATTTTGTGGATCTGCCCAAGTTCACCTGATGATGGAGTAGGGCTCCGAAACCGGTAGTGAGAGCAGGTTGATCCACATTATGACAAACACAGCGTAGAATTAAATTCCTATATCAGCAGTTAAGTGGCAAGATACCTTATACCGTATGATCGAAAAAAAAAACGGCGTCCATTTGGTTTGGAGATGACGATCGATGACATTTCCCATACAATTTTACATATAAAATGACAGCAATCTTCATTTCATAGCCATCGTTGACGCCGTTTTTATTCGATCATACGGTATAATTTTATTATTTGTATATATGTAAGTTGTTATATTGATAAATATAATAATAAATGCAGGGTTTCTTGAAGTTTGAAAGCAAGAATTAGTTCTTTTTTATATTTTTTTGGGTATGTGATGTTTTGTTTACAATACATTCTGGTTTGTTTTGTATTAACACAGACCCTATTTTTTTTTTCAAAGAAAATAGAACAATTATATTTTTCCAGTTTCATACCTTTTTTCACTTCATTTTCAATATTTTGTAGTAATCACTTGTCTCTCAAATTTTATATATAATAATTTCCTACTATGCTTTCAAATTCTACCAACTTAGGTATTTCTTTGTAAATAAAATAAACTACTTTGAAATTAAAATGACAGACACATCTATCACTGTGAAAGATTTTGTCGTTGGACAGACTATACACAATATTTTATCATTACCACCATGACAGTTATCATTTGACACTTGACATACATGACAGAATTATTTCACATAAACTTTTTTTTAGTAAACTCAAGTTATATTTTCCCCATTTGTTGCAAACTTTGTGGCACATCCTGTAGATATAAAATCAATCTTAAATTTTTTTTAAACAATTCCGACTAGAAACGCAAAGAATGATCTAGAATTTCATGAAAAATATCATACATATTTTGGTAACATTCTAGATTACAGGATTTCATCATTAAATTAATTTCTTAGATCGATTTTATATTCTGTTATTAGCGTGATGAGGAGGTGTACATTAAGCATTTTCCCTGCTTGTTATTAACTTTTTTTGTCATTTTGATAACAAAAATTGTGTTGTCATTTTGATAACAAAAAAGTGAAATAATCAATTTCAATTAATGTGTACAAGAAAGCACCTTGTAACATATTCCTATATCCTAAATAATTAACTGAAATTAGCATACCTTTTGAAATAGTTAAGGCTGGAGACCATTGTGACCTTAATATATCAAGGCAAATACTACCATTGCTATTTATGTTTGGATGATAGATTCTTGTTGTGAATGCAACTTTTGGAGGCTTAAAAGGATAGTCTGTTGGAAAGTGAATTGTTAAGAAAAATACGCCACCCTGGTATGGACTATCGGGCTAAAAAAGAAATCAAAATTAGATTGATAATTCTACATTTATTAAACTGATAAAAATAATAAATAAATTAATGTTAATACTTACCGGTCCCATAATTGTGGCTTGCCAATGAAATACTAAAAAGAAAGAAAAATAAAGACACGTAATAAATTTAAATCATTACTAAAATGTTGTTTCAATAAAACCATTATTTTTAAATATTGAGTTAAAAATCCATGCAATATGATATTCCTAGAACAAAAAAAGTTGGCACTACTGGACAAGAATCTAATAAAAAAAAGTTCAGGGTACTTTGCTGGTTACACAAATTTATTCACAACTAAAATTCACTGAATAGCTGTTTTTTTTTAGATAATTACAGATTTTTTGTTTTGTCATTCAGTGGTGACACATCCAACCTTTTTCCACAAATGAATCTGCCATAAAGGCATACATTTTTTAATTTCTAATAATCAGTAAAACTAATCTATAAAATAATGTCTAACAATTATCACAAAATATGTAGGTATATATTTTAACGTTTATTAACTTATAAAAAATATAACTTCATTAGATTAGGTACACTAATTAATACCTACTAGTAGTAAGTTTAAATAAAATAAACATTCTCTTCAATGTATCAAATATAATAGGTATCATGATTGTCATAAATAATGGACTAGAAATATAATGTCTATATTTCTCTTAATCAAAAGATTATAGATTAATTTATAAGTTTACGTATCATTGCAATTAGACATATTACGAATAAATTTCAAGAACTTATGCTATGATAATGCACTATTATTAAACAAAAAAAAACTTACAGTCATCTCCAACAGGTCCTGCTGAACATTGTGCTGGAGGATCTCTGCCGAGGTCTTGTAATTCCTAAAATACAACAAAAATGTGAATACCTTGAGTTTACCTTCTGAGATAATAATAGACACTTGGAAGTCAGAAAACTTTGGTGAGGTTAGAAAAGCATGTGCATGAATTACAGTACAGGCATTTTTTCAATTAAAGAAATAAAATCGTAAAATTTCTTTTAGACTTATGGTGGTTGGCATCAGTAATCAGATTTTATTTATAACTGACACACTATTCCTATTAGAGGGTAATACAAATTTATCTTTGTCTCCAAGAGTTAGGTTTCATTCACACAAACATGAATTAATATGGTGAAAAGAACCATGCTATTTTAAGCAATCGGTACTTATAAAACGCTGGAATATTCGATTTTAAAACTCGATTCTAGCCTTCAATCGGTGTGATCTCAATTTCATGTACCTTCCGAGGGCGTTTAACTGTCACTAAACAATCTTACAAATAAGTTGTTCTGCCTGCAAGTATAACGAAAATTTGATAAAATTATAGCCTACCTTATTAATTCTTTTTAAAGCCATTTGATTTACTGTATAAGAAATAAAAAACTGGCTTTTCACCAGACAATGAAACGGCCAGCCCAGGACCTCTCAATAGACTGCAAAGATGGCCTCCTTCAAAACTCACAGACACGACGTAAATCAAAGAAAAACTTTAAAATATTTTTCAGCACTTTTATGTTCTTAACTAGGTACACCCTTATGAACCGCCACTAAAAACACCTAAACTAACTCTAAAAATCTATAAAACTAATTGGAATAATTGAAAAACCCACAATGTTGGAGAAATAGATGACTGATTACTTCCGTGGCGAAATTTTCTTTCAATTTTTTTGACGATGTGTGAAAAAAGAAAATCCCCTAGAAATATTGGTAATGTAGATTGCTGTATATATGAGGTATAGATTTATGAGAAGGTTACCGCTAGATGGAGGGCCAAATTGGTAATCACACATGCCAGTAGATGGCAGATAATACAAAAATTTTACTTTAAAATTTGAAAATTGATTTCGGTTTTTATTTTTCACTTAAAAATTTATTTCAACTCAGAACTATAATTGATTAAAAATTGTAAAAAGTAAATATAGATAAAACTGGTCTCTAAAAATTTATGTATCTACTAAAATTAATATACATCGATTGGCATTAGTTTTTTATACTACTTTATTCTAAAAAATAAAATTTACAACCACCATTTTGTCATGAAAATTTGATTTGAGAAAATTTTGATGGGATTGAGAAAAAACATTTCTATATCTAAAAATAATGTTCCTATATCTGTTTTCTTAATATTTTGAAGTTATATATATATGAAACAGTTAAGTGCCAAATCAAAAGGAAGTCCCTCTTCCTTTTGTCCCTGGGAAGTTCTGTGAATTTGACTTTCCATCATCATATCGCTAACTATACAGAGTGAGTCTTAAATAAGTGAAAATATTTTCAGGGCTGATAGATTTCGATAAAAGAAACATTTATTTTCCTTTTTTTAAATAAGTCCAAAATAAAGGAGTTATATTACTTTGAAAATTTCCAAAAAAATAATTTTTTGTTTAAATTTTGAGAACCACTGGATCTTTTCTGGATTTTCTTTCTTGTAAATTTAATTTACTACCTATGATGGCATATTATCAAGAAATTATGTTTTTAACGAAAAACTAAAAAAAATCCAAGAATTTTTTTAAAAAAATTCTAAATTTTCGATTTTGTTTTCGCGAAAAAAAACTTCTTGTTTCTGAGGTTGAAATATACTACCCCTAAAAATATTTGCACTTATTTAAGACTCGCCTTGTATATTGGCGAGAAAGTATAGTTAGTGATTAGGTATAGGATCTGCTTAGCAAAACATCGTTTTTATTTAAAAAGGGATAATATCTCGTTTTGACTCTTTCTTTATAACAAACAATTAGCTAATTTTAGTAGGATTAATTTTGAAAAATACACTGTTATTAAAATATAGTATAAACGCAAAAATGGAGTAAAGTTGGCTTGGAAATGACAATTAGCTAATAATAATGATTAATAATTATTTCTCCCATACATCATACTAGCGTATACCCGCGACTTCGTTCGCGTTGAATATTTAATCATTTGTTAATGATGATGATAAAGCAAAGCAAGAATTTCCATTAACATACAAACTGGATAACATTTTCTCACATTTATGTCAGCATGAGAAAAAACAATATATGGCGATATATTATATAACTTGGTAATATTTGAAGGGTAGTTTCATCTCGTTGAAATTTGACTTTTTGAAAAATCCGTTTGACAAAAATAAGCTTTTTACGTCAAGAAGTTTAAGCAGAATCGTGGTTAATCAATTATCCAACTTTTTTGAACACCCTGTTATATATGTAAAAAAACAAAATAAATTATGCGTGTTCAAGCGTTTTCCCGAAAGACTAACCTTTTTTTAAATAACAAATATTGTAATATTTGGGAAGCGTTTTCACCCTCTTGGAATTTGAGATTTGAGAAACCCCCTCCTTATCGAACCTCTACACTCCACAGTCAATCCGTTTGCCAAAAATCAGCTTTAAACGTCAAGCAGTTTAAGCAGAATCGTGATTACTCAATGGTCATATTTTATGAAACACCCTGTATAAATTTTTAAAAAATCTTAAAATATGTAAAACAACAAAATAAAATATACGTGTTAAAGAGTTTTTCCGAAAAACTCACCGGTTTTTAAATATAAAATATTCTAATATTTGAGGGGTGGTTTAACCCCCTTATAATTCGAGTTTCGAAAAATCCCTTCTCATCGAACCTCTACACCCTAAAGTCAATCCGTTTTCCAAAAATCAGCTTTTTACGTCAAGCGCTTTAAGGAGGATCGTGATTAATCAATGACCAGATTTTTCGAAACACTCTGTATACATTTTTATAAAATCATAAAATATGTAAAAAAACGAAATAAAACATACGTGTTTAAGCGTTTTTTCGAAAACTTGGCCGTTTTTTAAGTAAAAAATATTGTAATATTTGAGGAGTGGTTTCACCCCCTTGAAACTGGAATTTCGAAAAATCCCTTCTTATCGAACCTCTACACCCTAGAATCAACCTGTATGCCAAAATTGAGCTTCTTACGTTGAGTGGTTTGAGCAGGATCGTGATTAATCAGTAAGTCACTTAAGGATTTTATATATTAGTAGGTATAGATAAAATGACAGCGATCTCAAAACATCATTTCCATGCCAACTTTGACGTTTTTTTTTTCAATCGTATTGTACGTCCAGTTAAAAAGCATCAATAATTTTCTATATAAGCTAAAAACATATATAACATTTCATTTTCAGAAACACAATTTGTAATGAATTTTAGTGTAAAAATATTTTAAATATACTATCAATAATCAACAATATACAACTGCGAGTTTAAAGTAAATACAATACCTATATACTGCCCAGATATTCTGCAAGAAATGCAATAGATGCAATTTTTACATAAAGATTGGAGTGAAATTTTCAAATAGAAAGCATATCGAGCATATTGATGAAAAACAAAACTAACAATATTTAGTAAATTATTTTTATTTGTAGACTATTAAATAATGTTAATAATTTATTTATATAATACACAACTTTAGTGTAATAGATGTTCTTTGGATTTAAAGTATAATAGACTATAATTATTTATATAAAAAATTAACCATATATGGCATATCTTATTAATTAATATTAAAAAAGTTTCATGTGGAATAGCCGTATTCTTTTCCTTGTACTTTGACATTTACGAATGTTTTGGGGGTGGACGCAGCGAAACTAGACGTAATGGTCACATCGTCAAGGTCGGTGGTGATCTCGTTTTGTTGTCGTTCTTTTTCATCTTCTTCCTCTGTTTCTTTAAGATATTTCCTGAAAATATAAAAATAAACCTTTAATAAACAATTAAAATTAATTACTAAATAAATTGATATAATTTAGTAGCATTAACAAAATATATTTCAATAATTGAGAAAATCAACAGTTTTAAAATGTAATAAATATAATCTCCATTCTATTAAGAGCTCTTAGACTAGACTGGTCTAATAAAGGATTAAATATAAATGGAGAATATCTTAACCATCTAAGATTCGCTGATGATATAATCCTAATAGCCAATATTCGTGAAGAACTACAAACACGTATTAACGAACTAGATAAATACAGCCAGCAATAAAGTAGGTCTCAAAATAAATTTAACAAAAACTAAAGTAGGTAATGTACAACGAACTAGTAGACAGAAAAGAAATTCTAATAAATAACACCAAAACTGGAAATAGTGGAAGAATACATATATTTGGGATAACTAATACACAGCTCGGGATCTCTACCACCAGAAATCAACCGAAGAATTAAGTTAGTATGGGGTACCTATGGAAGAAACTCAATCATATTCAAATCTAGAATGCCACTTTATCTAAAGAAGAAAAAAATCGACCAATGTGTACCTACTACCTAGTACCTAGTCATGACTTATGCATGCGAAACCTGTACTCTTAAAACGGATATTATAAGAAAACTGCAGGTCGCACAACGCTCAATGGAACGGAATATGCTGGGAATAACCAAGAAAGCTCGCAAAAGAATAGAGGGGATACGACAAAAGACCCAGGTAATAGTCATCCACAGAGTCAAATCCCTTAAGTGGCAACGGGCAGGACACTTGGTAAGAAGGACGGACACGAGAAATTAAGAGACCTAGAGGAGGGCAAAACCTGAGATGTGATCATAATATTAGGAAATTGCTCGGGAAATTGGCAGGGATAACTTGGGCCCGCATAGCCAACAATAGACAACAATGGGTCCAACTATAAAGAGAGTATCTAAACATGTGAAGGAGGCTACGCCATTATTGAAAATGGTTGAATAAACTGAGAATGATAATGATTAAGAGCTCAAAGGGTGTTTTTGTGTGGTGTCTTCACCAGTTTCGATGATTTTAATTAGATTTTTAAATTGGAAATGATGAATTATGAACCATTTTTATATGACTTAATCAATATTTGCATATCCTCGATATACAAGTGCCTAAAACACAAAAAAGTCCAAAAAATAATAATTTTTTGATGCATTTTTTCTTAACAAATATATCGTTATTATTGACTTAATGAATAACTAGGTATTAAAATAATATAAAAATTAAACTAATAAATCTTAGAAGACTTAGTTGACTTTCCAGAATATAGCTTTATTATATTCTGATAAAATCTATATAGACAAATGAGTTAAATAGATCGAAAATTAAAAAAAAATACTAAGTGTGTTTTGCTTCTAGACCAGCGAAAACAAATATAGTCTAAAAAAATCTGTCTAACGGAAGGATCCGAGTTCTCAGGCAGTGAGAGTTGTTGTAGAATATATGGGAGGAGTGTTAATCACTGTGACCTTACAGATCTATTGTGTCCTCCTTTCTTTAATAACTCATTATACAGTCTCAGAACTTTTGACAAAAGCCAGTATCTGAGACGGTTTTACAGAGGTGAGTTCTCCATCTCCAATATGTATCAATTGTACCAAAGTTCATGGCACGAATGGTTGTCGCGTCGGCGCACACAGTGAACAGGTGTTTCCCCATTTTTCCCACAGAATTCCCATTCGTTGTTGTTTCTTATTAGCTTCAATCTACTGAGGTTTTCGTTGAGAAGACAGTGTCCTGTTAAAAACCCTGTGACAGTGTGACAGTCCCAAGATTGTTCTTACTTATATCAAGGAAAATCTTTAATTTTTGTTGGTCGGACTTTTTCTGAGTGTCTTAGACCGTTGCACAGTACGCAATATGTCCAAACCAAGTTGCAAAAAATAACATCCACAGTTAGCATTTATGGCAATAACATTAGATTGGAAACATATTAGTTAAGAGAAAACCATATAAAACTAACAAAAATCGTATTCGGAGTCTCTTTCGAGGGGCTGTAAAACAAACTTTGCGCAAAACCTACATTTTCAGTTAAATTGTGTCCAATAACTGCCTTTTTTCTACAATTTTTTAAATAGTAGGCGTTGCATTCAAGTGACACAGTATTATAACAATTGAATCGGAAGACCTTAGCTTGCTGTCAATAATTATTGTGAAATTGTCATAACGTGTTTTACGTAGATTCCAGGTTGCGGTAAATTTAATGTTAAGGTAAGTATAAAAAAGTATCTTTTATTTTGATTTTTTGGATAAAAACTAGGTAAAGGTCAAAGTAGAACATAATCATTTAAGGTTTTTTTGATAGTGGCATATATTCTATCTAAGAAAAGTTAAGTCAAAAAAATCGCAAAAAATCGCAACATTAAATTTATTGGAAGCGTAAGCCTCAATGCGTATGTGTATAGTAAGATCCTTTATGTGGATACTTCTCATAAATTAATTGTTATAGTAGCTAGAGAAGAACTTGAAATATAAAGTTACGTAATTTTTCTCAAGATTTCCGAAGAGGTATATCATAAATGTCAAATGACATTTTTTGACAAATTGACAAATTTTGACAGTACCTAATTTTTAAATTAATTGAAATGGATTTTTCTTTCAGATTTAAAAATGTGCACTTCGTGACCATTTCTTCCAGCTAAAAAAAATATCAGTAAATAGTAGGTAAGCTTTTGTGGGAAATATTACCATTTTACTGGTCAATGGTTAAAAATAGTGATAGCAAAGTAGGTATTTCAAAATCAGAAGGAAAAATGCTATTTAAATATATCATATACGGGGTATTTTATTTAATTTAGGAATACCTGTTATCTCATTGTGACATTACACATGACATCATATAGAGGATTCTTATGAGTTTTACTGGTAACCATATTGTGATTCACGGGTAATATCACTCCGCGACAACTGTAGGTATTCCTAGCTATTATAACAATTTAACAATAATTTATTTAAAAGGAGTGTCCAGATATAATGGATATTACTTTACAAAAAAATGCATTTAGGCGAATACATCACACATCAGACTAACTAAACTAATCATGTAGGGTTTTCTTTTATACATTGACACCCCCTTTATCTTTTTTATTTGACGTTTCCGAAAACTGTCTTAAATGAAAATGGTTTTGAATAAATTTGCCAAAAAAGTCTATTTCGCATATACAAAGTGCTTCAAAAAGTCTGGGCGTGGTTCACCTATCTTATTTCAAATTAGGTATATTACATAAAAGTACTTAGAATTTTTAGGAGAAAATAAAAATCAAATAAAAAATTGGGTACTAATTTGAAATAAGAAAGTTGGGCCACGCACAGGATTTCTAAGGCAACCTGTATATGCAAAGAAGACTGTTTTGAAAAATGTATTCGAGACCATTAAACTTTTATTCAAGGCACTTTTTCGAAAACGTCGAATAAAAAAGATACAGAGAATGTCAATATATATAACAAACCGGAGGAGTAATAATTGCTCAATATTTGTCCGTTTCATCTTGGCTCTGCCAAAAATCGTAATCGTAATTTAGTGAAATGTAAAATATTATTACTGCATTTTGGTAGCTGTATTAGTCAAAAGATGATTTTTCCATTTTATGAATCCCCCCCCCCCACCACCCCCAACCATTCTCAAGTCAGCCAAAACTAACTGGGTTCGCGGGCTACTGGCATAGTATGTTTTTACCAAATTTGAACGAAATCGTACAAAAAAATTATTTTTGCAACATACTTCTGGATTTTTGCCCACTGTGCGTTGGAGGATTCCCATTCCGGTTACGGATGTAGTATTTCAGATTCTTAAGTTCCACTCTTTCTAAGCTGATTCCACTTGAAAAGCCGAATGGTTCGAGACCATCAGTTAGTGAAGTGTTCGCTCCTTTTCTAGCTAGATCGTTTAGCTTTCCATTGCCTTCTATCCCTTGGTGGGCTGGCATCCAGAGTAGGAAGACTTTATTATCTTTGCTTAATTTGTTCAGCGTATCTAGGTATTCTTTAACCAACTTCAAATGGATGGTTACTAAGTTGATCACTTTTAATGGTGCTTAACTATAAAATACGATGGTTGTTTTTTGTTTCCGATATTCCTAAGATAAGTTGTAAACATCTTTCGATAGCGTAGATTTCTACCTGAAAGATGTTGGGGTAGGTGCCCATTGGTTCGGAGTATTTAGTTTTCGGCCTAAATATCCCTATCCGTGTCCCTGAATTAGTTTTGGTAACATCAGTATACCACGTTATGGTTATGGTCTTTTACCTGCTGAGCAAACGTTTCTCTCTTCAAATCCTTTTTATGGCTCAATACTACCGTGAGGTGTATCCCAAATTTGTACATTCTTGGCATGTCAATTTGGAAGACGAAAATTTAGTTTCACCGCGAGAAATGGAGAAATTGAGGAAAGTTCGCGAGTTACAATTTAAACTGCCAGGTCACCGTCCATATTCGCTAGATTTAGTTTCCAGTTCATTTTATTTCCCAAAATGGAAGTTGAGCTCGGAGAAAACAGATTTTTGTCGGTCAGTAAAAGAGGTGATCATTTTCATAAACAACTACAATATGATGACTATGAAATGAAAATCGCTGTCATTTTTTATGTATAATTATAATTATATAAAAAATGTCATGTCAAAATGTCAAATGTCTCATTTCCAAGCCAACTGGCCGCTGTTGTTTTTTCGATCATAAGGTATTTTGCTAACAAAGATGCCTACTAGCTCGCCTATTTACACGAACTCCTAAAGTAGAAGCAATTAAGGCAAAGGTAGCGTCTTTTGTAGAAGTGTTTTGCAAGTAGAGTATGTAGAGAAAAAATAAGCCTAAATAAGCCCAAAAAATGATACAAAAAAAATTTGTATCATTTTGGGGTCGAAAACATTTGACACTAACCTCGTATGTGATAAGATTCCAATTATAGGATAAATAAATTTGAAGATGAAAACAAATAATAAGTCAAAAAGGAATTGAGGT